ATGGCCATATGTCTTTTGTTCGAGAAGAAGCTTCCTAAGAAGTTTTGGGCAGAAGCAGTTACTACTGCTGTTTATTTGTTAAATAGGCTGCCTACAAAAGCTTTGAAGGATAAGACCCCATATGAAGTTTGGTATGGAGTCAAACCTAATGTTGACCATCTAAGAATTTTTGGAAGTATTTGTTATGTTCATGTTCCTGATGTCAAAAGAAGCAAGCTAGATCAGAAGGCAGATGTTGGGATTCTTTTGGGATATAGTAGCAACGCCAAAGGTTACAAAATCTTCAACTTGCAATCCGAAAAGGTGATTATTAGCATAGATGTAAAGATTGATGAAGGAGCATATTGGGATTGGGAGAAGACTGAAACCAAGTCTAAAAATAGTAACCATGTTAAAAGAGATGTGGCTGTCATAGGAGATCAACTTGTTGTCGAAGATCAACTTGATCTTGAGAATGATATTGATGAAGAAATCTTTGTTAGAGGTACAAGACCTCTGGATGAGATCTATGAGAGATGTAATGTGGCTTTAGTGGAGCATGCTAATCATGATGAGGCTATAAAGTTAGCTAGTTGGACAGCTGCAATGGAGGAGGAGCTGAATATGATCAAAAAAAATGATACTTGGTAGCTAGTAGAAAGGCCTACTGATAAAAAGGTGATTGGTGTAAAATGAGTTTTCAAAACTAAGTTGAATCCAGATGGTTCTGTTAACAAGTTAAAAACAAGGTTAGTTGTCAAAGGTTACTCTCAACAATTTAGAGTAGATTTTTCTGACACCTTTGCTCCAGTGGCAAGGCATGATACTATAAGATTGTTGATCATTTTAGCAGCTCAAAAAGGTTGGAAGATTTTCCAACTTGATGTCAAATCTGCATTTCTTAATGGCTACTTGAAGGAGGAGATATTTGTGGAGCAACCCCCATGTTTTCTTAAAAAAAGGAAATGAAGACAAAGTGTATCAGCTCAAGAAGGTCTTGTATGGACTAAAGCAAGCACCGAGAGCTTGGTATAGCAGGATAGATGATCATTTGCTGCAATTGGGGTTCAAAAGAAGTCCTAGTGAGGCCACTCTCTACGTGCAACAAGTAGGTGATGATTTATGTTAGGACTCCCTTTGTTCTAGACTACTCCTTCTCGCATACACAAACCTGAGGGCTGGAGTGCTAACATTTTATTAATCATTTCTTTGTATGTTGATGATCTTCTCATTACTAGCAGCAACATTGCTTTAGTGCAAAAGTTCAAAAAAGAAATGTAAAATGTGTTTGAGATGATTGATTTGGGAGAAATGTCATATTTTCTTGGTATGGAAATTCTTCAAACTGAGCAAGGAATTTTCATAAGCCAAGAAAAATATGCTAAAGATGTGCTGAAAAAGTTTGGCATGGAGAATTGTAAAGATGTTAGCACTCCGCCGGTTTTGAACGAGAAATTAAGCAAAGAAGATGGAAGTGATAAAATTGATGCTGGAATTTATAGAAGTTTAATTGGTTGTTTGCTATACTTGACAGTAACACGACATGATATTATGTTTGCTACAAGTTTATTGTCAAGATTTATGCAAGCTCCAAGTGAAATACACTTTAAGGTTACAAAAAGAGTATTAAGATATGTGAAAGGAACAACAGATTTTGGTGTTTGGTTCAAGAAAGAAGATGAGGTTCAGTTGATTGAATATGTGGATAGTGATTGGGGTGGCTTACTTGATGATATGAAGAGTACCTCAGGCTATATTTTTACCATTGGTTCTGGCATGATCAGCTGGAATTCTAGAAAGCAGGATGTGGTAGCTCAATCAACAGCTGAAGCAGAGTATATTGCTGCTACTGTTGCTGTCAATCAAGCCATTTGGCTAAGAAAAGTTCTTGAAGACTTGCATCACATGCAAGAGAATGCTACTGTAATTTTTTGTGACAATCAATCTGCTATAGTTATGAAAAAAAATCCTGTATTTCATGGAAGAACTAAGCACATCAAAATCAAGTATCATTTTATTAGAGAAGCAGAAAAAGAAGAAGAAGTCAAGTTAACTCATTACAGCTCTGAAGATCAGTTTGCAGATGTTTTGACTAAAGCATTACCCAAAACAAGGTTCGAACAACTAAGGAAGAGTTTGGGAGTTTCCAGCAAAAGTGCCAGGAGTGTTGAAGTAGGTGGATTGTGGCACATTTGCTGTCACATCTTCTGTTTTTTTGTAGTTTGTGAAGCAAAGTTATTAATGAGGATACGGTGTATGGTATGGGAGAGTACCTTACTTCTGTGGACAAAATCTTTTTTTTTTGTTTTTGTTTTGTTGAAGACCACGTCTTCTTGCTCTCTATGGTGCTCTCCATATATGTATGTATAATGTATTGAAGTTACTGTAAAAAAAAAAGCAGAAAACACACGTTGCTGTCCATTTTTTGCTCATCTGTTTTTGCTCTCCCGATTGCTCTTAGTTCTTTAAGTTTGCTCTATCTATTAGCCTATTTCCATCTTCCATCCTCTGCTCTTTCAAAAATCCAACACTTTCATACTCTGCCACAGAATTCTCCGATAAAGTTAATCAATTTTGTGTCCACAATTTTCTCGAAAACAAAATACATTTGCCACAACCCTTTGGAGTCTAGACCCTGAGTTTGGGTTTCATTAATTGTATTATATGGTCTTCAGAGAGAGCCTGGAGAAATACTCGTGGGAATTGTAGAAAGTTACAACGATCCTACTGAAGTTCATGTCAAGAAACTTGGGGCGTAATTCAGAGATACCTCCTAGTGTGTTTGGGGGTGGAAGACAAGGGGTAAGAATAAATTTTTACCCGCCTTGTGTGCAGGCTAACCGGGTTGACACTTCTACTCCAAGTGAATGATGTTCCAGGTTTGCAGATTAAGAAGAATGGTAAATGGTTACCTGTGAAGGCCATCCCAGGTGCATTTGTTGTTAACATAGGCGACATCATTGAGGTATAATGATTAACTGGTGTTTCATATTAATCTAGGCATTATTGTTTTAAGGATTATTTTCACTTGTGTCTCTGTCCTAAAAACTCTCAATTTACCCACTAAATTTTGAATTAGACTCACAAATCCTTTTATCATAATTTTTGTTAAAAACGATAGGAAAAAAAATGTCTCACTTAATCCCTTCTTCTCCATTTTTTTTTGACAGATTTTCAAACGGAAGAGATTAAGTGGGACTAATTTAAAATTCAGGGTGCAATATTGAGCGTTTTAAAAGTTATCTTTAAAGTATTCTTTTTTTAGGTTTATTAGGGTTTTTATTGGTTGGAGCTTCTAGTTATCATGGTAGGAATTTTATACCGTTCTTTCCCTCTCAACAAATAATCTTTTTTCCGCCAGGAATCGTGATGTCTTTCTATGGAATCGGTGGTCTTTTTATTAGTTCATATTTGTGGTGCACAATTTCGTGGTGGGTAGTGGTTATGATCGATTCGATCTAAAAGGAAGGAATAGTGTGTATTTTTTGTTGGGGATTTTCTAGAAAAAATCGTCACATCTTCCTCTAATTCCTTATGAAAGACATTCAATCTATCAAGAAAGTAGGAACGATAATAATCTTTGTTTTATAGACAAGGGCTTTTAGCACTTATTATGTACCTTTAACTTTTCATGGTCTGGATTTTTTTATTTTTTATTTTTTTTTTTGACAATTACAACCATTGATTTTTGAAAACAATAACAATTAACTCCAGTCGTATGATTTTATTGCTTACAAATTAATGCAGATAATGAGCAACGGAGTGTACAAAAGAATAGAGCACAGAGCTGTTGTGAATCAAGAACAGCAACGCTTTTCTATTGCTGTCCACATATCAAAGCCATGGTTGGTCCTTTGCCAGATCTTGTGAAAGAGAATAAAGCAAACTACAAAACTATTAGCAACGAGGATTTTTTTAAGGCGTCTTTGGAACAGCAAGCTTGAGGGTAAGAACCTTATAGATCATTTGAAGCTAGAGAAATGATTACTCAACACCAATCCCAGTTGTACTATACGTTGCTCACAATGCCACTTATAACGAGCTCAAATGGTTGAATGTGTGTGCCTGCGTGTGTCTATAAATTTTAAATTCTGGTAGTTTCATTTTTTGTTAATACAATGGGAGCAAATAGGCTCACGGCAGACACACATGTTCAAAATGAGATAAGCTTTTATCTCTTTGGCATACATTTATATATATAATGATAGTCAAGGAAGTGAACATTAAATTGGGTTAATTCAATTTTGGTACCCAATCTTAGGAGTGAATCTCATTGTAGTCCATGATATTTAAAACATCCCATAACTAGTTCCTAATTTATAAACTTGTCCTATTAAATAAAGATTATAGTATTATCTAGTATATACCCGCTTGTTGAAAGTGAATTGATTGAAGTGCTCACACGAAGCATGTTTATTCACAAAATAGGGGCATTACTCCAATGAATATGAATATAATATTAGGAACACTTTAATTAACTATTTACCAATGATTTGCATGAAAGATTATGTTGTATTATTTATTAGTGAAAATTAGTATGAAATTATAATACAGAATGCAAAAGTCTGCAATTCTAAAGTGATTATTGCGTGCAATAACAATTATTGGTCACTCCTCCAATCAAACTTTAACTTTTTTTAGGCGAAAAGTCTAAATTTTTTTTGTCCTCGTGTTCTATATAATATAATTATTGCGCGCAATTATTATATTATATAGAACAAGATAACAAAAGAAGTCTATGCTTTTCGACTAAAAATGTTAAAGCTTGATTGGAGGAGTGACCAATAATAATGTAGGAAGTGTTACCGGCAAATGTTTTTAACACTTTTTGTTCGCCCGCCTTTATGACATTATTTGTGCATTCCTGTAACACTAATTTTGTCTAAATGTAACACTCAATAAAATATCATCTGCCACCATGTTCCATATAACTTACTTCAGTGTTACATTTTGAGTACATACATCTTTTTCAATCACAACATGATGAAAGAAAACGGCCACTTTGATAAAAGCTGCAAAAATTTCAAAGGGACGGGTCAGTTTTCAAGCCCCATCCAAAAAAGAAAAGCTTATCCTACCAAACTTTTCAATCAACATAAAATAATGGTTTCAAGAAAATAAAATAAAATAAAAATAAATAAATAATGGCTCCTGAGGCAGTTTCACATTACCAAACGAAAACTGCTCTACAAGGGAAATGGAGAATGAGCAGCTTCAGAGAATTGATTATGGTGGCTCTCTCCCAGTTGAGAATGTTCAAGCTCTTGCTTCCGAGAACCTCAAGGAAATCCCGTCTCGCTATGTCCGGCCTGAAGCTGAATTTGATCAGGTTTCTGTTGAAGATCACTCGCTTGAGATTCCAACAATTGATATGAGCAAACTGCTTGATGAAAAACACCCATTAAGCCCCCATGAAGAATTGGCAAGACTTCACTCAGCTTGTAGAGACTGGGGCTTCTTTCAGGTACAGTCACTCACACAACTTAACCCCAAAAAAATACACTAAAAGGAACTATGAATCATGTAAATCTATGTAGTATATATATACATAGATTTTTTACCAACAGTTTGCTCATATCTATTGCTTTTTACATTAGTTTTTACTAACAAAAAATCTACCCAAGCTTAATCCAGTTGAATATTGGAGACAACTGATTTGTGAATATCTAATGTCACAAAGGTTATACCAGAATCAAAAATATTATAGGACAAGGAAAAACATGAGAATTATAAGTAGTTGACTCATGTAAACTTTACAACTTGCTTCAAATGGGACGCAGTTTGACATTGGGTTTTATATTGTGATGGTGAGGCAGTTGATCAATCATGGAGTACCAAAGGAAGTCGTTGAGAAAATGAAGATTGACACACATGAATTCTTCCAACTACCACTAGAGAAGAAGAAAACTTACGCTCAGCTTCCAAATAGCATTGAAGGATATGGGCAAGCCTTTGTTCAGTCTGAAGAGCAAAAGCTTGACTGGGGAGACATGCTCTTCCTCCTCGCTCGACCTGTCTCCGTGCGAAACATGAGATTCTGGCCCACACATCCTACTTCTTTCAGGTAAAATCTTCAAGTCACAATTCTTAGAAATACCAAGCAATTGAATGTAACAAATGCAACACGCATAATTCTATCTATAATGAAATTAACAATTGTTCATTTGCTGTCTTTAGAGAGAGCATGGACAAATACTCGCAGGAATTACATAAAGTTGCAATCTACCTATTGAGGTTCATGTCTTGGAACCTGGGGCTCCATTCTGAGGCAGTCACTAGTCTGTTTGAGGATGGAAGGCAAGGGCTGAGAACAAACTTTTACCCGCCTTGTGTGCAGGCAAACAAGGCATTGGGTATCAGTCCCCATTCCGATGCCACGGGATTGACATTGCTACTCCACGTGAATGATGGCCAAGGTTTACAAATTAAGAAATATGGTAAATGGGTACCCGTGAAACCTATCCCAGATGCATTCATCGTAAACATAGGTGACGTCATTGAGGTAAGTTAGCGATACTTGGTATTTACTTTTTCACTAAATGTTTTTACACCTAGTGATGTGACAAGTTTCAACCACATACGTCAGGGCCAATATAACTCGGCATGGCTAAAAAGTTGTCCATTACTTGGCATAAAAACTTCAGCGCAAGAGCAGGTTTCCTTAATATTTCTATGTAGAACTCACGTGTGCACAAATGGCACAAATGAAAGAACAAAGAGTCATAGTCTACTACTAAGAATAAGAACACCTAACACCTGTCATGATTGTCCATTTTCAAACATTGATCAATGTGAGGAATAAGAACCACATTAATCAACAACTGAAAATAAACACTCATGTTAGTCCCAACTATCCTTAGCAAAATCATAGGAAGGAGAGGTGATAAAGTTGCAATTTAAATCAGGTGAACATCTACCAATCAATTTAAATCATGTGAATATCTACCAATCTCATTACTAACAAATGCAGATAATGAGCAACGGAGAGTACAAAAGCATAGAGCACAGAGCTGTTGTGAACACAGAGAAGAACCGCATTTCTGTTGCTGCATTTCATGGTCCACATACAAAAGCCATGGTTGGTCCTTTACCAGAACTTGTAAAAAAGAGTCCAGCTAAGTACAAAACTATAAGCAATGAGGATTACTTGAGGCTTCTTCTAAGCAGAAAGCTTGATGGTAAAAACTTGATAGATCACATGAAGCTATAGTGGTGACTCAATAGAACTATAGTAAGGTGTCTTGTTTTTTTTTTCTTAAAAAAAAAAAAAAAACTACGATATGAGTGTGTTCTTTTTCTATAAATTGATGTGAAGTTTAAAGACAAATGTATTTAAAAAAACAAGAGGAGGAGGAAATACTTTCTAAAGGTGAAAACGAGGGGACTAATGTGATGAAAAATTAGCAAAATGGGTAGAATTCACAAGTAGGAATTATAATTTACTATTAAGAATAACAACACTTAAAGTGATCGTCCAATTCCATTCGTCAATCAATGTGAATGCATCAATAAGAACCACATTAATCAACTACTGAAAATGGATAGTCACATTACTCACTATAGTCCTTCGCAAAATCATAAAAAGGAGAGATAATGAAGGGACACCTTAACCCGCTAAATATCTACTCTTCTTGTTGTTGCTTACAAGTGTAGATTGTAAGCTACGGAAAGTATACGAGAATTGAGCAGAGTTGTCATGAACACTGAAAAAACACCTTTCTATGCTGCTTGTCAAGGTCCACATATCAAAGGAGAAATGTGACCCAGGAAAGAAAAATGTTCAGGAACACCACTGGTGTTGAGCACCACAACTAACAAAAAGTAAGTCATACTTGTAATTATGATACCCACATTCTATTAGTGTATGATGTTAAACACCAGTAGTGCTCTTTAACATTGTTCTATATGAAAAGAGCTCTAGATGGCTCTAAAAGAAACAAAGAAAGCTGCAGCATTCTTTTTAAGTCATTCACATGATAAATGAAACCAAAGCCTAAAGAAATAAAAAGGCGGACCGTAATGCCAAAGAGGCTCCCGTATTATGTCAGGCTCAGGGGAAAGCTCAATCCCATATATACACGGCCTTAGCCCCCGAAGGAGAGACCGTTTTCGGGATTCGAACCTTGGACTCCGGGTGCAAACGCAAGCGCTCCCACCGCGGTGCCAAGGCCCGCCTTCTTAAATGAAACTGAAGCCTATTTAAAATATAAATGGATAAAATAAAGTAAATTCTCCATTGATAGTTTCATACTTACGCCCACAAGATTATTTCATTTTTATTTTGTTACACAACTAAAGAAATAAAATAAGGAGAAAACTTAAACTAATAGGCTTGTAAGGAGGAAGTTTGTGACTTTTGGAACTATCCATTTAGCTCAATAAGATATTCATATACTTTCCTCACAAAGCAGAAAAAAATAATAATAAAACAGTCTTACATTTAATAACAATAATAATAATAATAATAATACTAACAATAAAACAGAGAACAATTTGGTTTGGCGACTTGGCACCGGCTAGAAGAGACTGATTTGTACCACTTTCAATCCCCTGTATTTCAAGGGCATTTAAAGAGATGATTTGAACATCTCTACTTCAGAAACTCATCCTGTTTTGTCTTGACTATAGAAAAAACCTAAAGGCCATTATAAAAATTCAAAAATAAAGACAAACAAAATTTAACATAAATCTAAAATTTAAAAAGAAGACTATATTTGTTTTCTGTCTATACAAGTTTTTCTCCTCTTCTTTTTTAGAGCCTCTCAAACACACTCAAACACATGCATAAGGAGAAATTATATTCGTTCCCATGAGAATATATCCCCACCACTCACATATAGTGGATCTCATCAAATGAGACCCACCCATACGAATAGTGTGGATAAATCCCCACGAGGATGAAAGCATTTTCTCCCTGAATTAGTGCAAAGGAAGAATTAGTTTTCTTCCAATTCTTTTTTATTGTCTTATTTGTTTTCAATTAAAATGATATTGCAACATTCCCCAGTTTTTTTTACAAATACAAAAAGCCTAAGACTTGTTTAGTTCAACAACTCAAACTCTGAAAATTTGAACCTTTTTAATTAAAACTGTAGAATCTAAACTATAGTTATTCAAACTATAATCTAAACTCTTATCTAGATATGCAAATAAATTATAATTTGAATTGGTAATAAAATCTAAATTGTGTTTAGATAAAATGTTAAAAACTGTCATTAGAGATTTATAACAATTATTAAAAAACCTTATTATAAATGACATTAAAAAATATACAATATAAGTAGGGATTTGTTCCTCTCTTTATTACAAACACATTAAAAAAATCATCACAATTAAAATTAAAACAAAAAAATTATAACATTTTTAATATTGAATGAAGAGAATGAAAAAGTATAATCTAGAACTATTGAACTGTTACAACAATTCAAATTATTAGAATTTAGGGGAAAGTGAATTCTAAAATCAACAACAATTTGAGAGCCTGTTTGATTCATGGATTAGAACCATAAGATTAGAACCATTTTCAATTTACGTGTGTTTTTTGTAAAAGAAAATACTATAACGAACCATGAACCATTATTCGAATTAGAGAACAAATCCTCCAACCAAACGGACTCTAAATTGTCCTCGAACCATTGTTAATAGTTTGAATTGTCCTTGAATTTTTCTCTCTCAAACACCAATTTAAATCATGAATTAAGGTTTGAATCCTAAACAACAGTTTAAGTTATTGAAACAAACAAGAGCCTAGTCATTCATAGCATTGAGAGTATTGTTTTTCAACCTAACAGATTGAATTCGAGTCTCGATGTACCCCACATGGCCTACCCAATATGAGAGACCCACGACTCAACCCTAAGGAGATGAACCCCATTTTTCCTTCCCAACTAGGAATAACATGGACTATTAAAAGTGACATTTTAAGATCAAGCACCTTGTCACTTCAACTACCCCTCAAGACGATTCTTTCAGAGAACTTTGATCCGGAGACATGTAATTAGGCCGCAAGGGCTCTTTTTATTCAGAGGCTAATAACATTTCTCTGCATTAACGCCAAAGGTCCTTTAACATATCTTCAGAAGAAGAATACGGCCAAGAACAAAAATATTGGCAATGACGAGTATTTGATGCTTGATAGTAAAAGCTTGATAGATCTCATAAAGCTTGACTAGTAACTCAAAACCTAATTTAAAATCTCCATATCCCAAAAACCCCCTCCCATCATCTGGGCAAGCCACAGATGGGTTTAGCTCAAATGGTGAGAAAGGGGGTTTTGGGATAGGAGGTCCCAGGTTCAAAACCTAGCAAGTGTCATGGGAGCTTTTCTAGCAAAGCAAATGAGATGGACAACAATAAAAAGAGTTGAGAGGGAGAAAACTCAAGCAGACGAAGATATCACAATGAGAAGGGGAAAAAAAGAAAGATCTCAACTAAATATCATAAAATACTGAAGACGAGACATCTTTAAACAACAATCCCAATGTTGATATTATTATTAGTATTCTTAACAGAAAAAACGAAACAAATGGCACTACTAAGTAGTTTAAGAATGACATTCGTCGTAAGATCACCATTTAAAATTCAGCATGGTCTTAATATTTATGATAAGAACATGCCAAATTTCAAATGGAATTCCTGCAACCAATATTGAAAGCATAACTTAAACCACAAATGTTTACCTAAACATGAACACAAGAATAGAATAAATCAAATTTTTGCAAACTAAACTTCTCCTAAATGCAGCCGGTCCTTAATCACCTAGAAAAAGTG